CAGATGATCCCAGGAGGCGCAGGGGCGGATGGTCCGTTATAGCTCTGCTCCCAGACGGTCAAGGCTCCCTGTGTGAACGCTTAGCCATCTTCGGCCCATTGGAGGGCAGGCTGCAAACAGTGTCGCGCTCGGAGATCACGGCCTCTCGCGTTGCAGTTGGGGGAAGCTCGGGGGCCCGAACTTTCGCGACCGAACTGAAGCCACGCCTCAGCGGCTGGGGACAGGGTACATTGGGGTGCACCTTCGCATTGCTTTGTTGGAGCAGGAACTGGGACGTGTTGCGGCCGGGGCGCGGGCCCCGTCTCGCCAGGGCGATTCCCTCGAGCTAGTCGCTGATCCGTTTCCTGCGCGCGGCGATGTCGTGGCCGATTCGGGCTACGAGTAAGGCAGCCTAGAATTGGAGTGCTGCGCTGACCACTGAGGTGCGATACCGCCTCTCGTTCGTAGCCGTGCTCCCACGGTTGTTCGCCCCATCGGCTCTGAACAAGTCTTGCGGGGAAACAGGGTCGGAGGCACGCGGCAGCCTCCCCGGTCCCCCCGCTCCCTCATCCTCCGGGCCTCCTCCCACCGACGTGTCAAGCGCGGCGAGAAGCGGCGCCGCTCGCGCCTTTCTGAGGGGCGATCGCCGGCTTGGTGCGACGACCCTGTCTCAGTGCCCTGGCCCGCCGCCCGCCCCTGATCTCCTCGCGGGAGAAGGCGCTCGCGGGCTCGGAGAAGCTTCGGCGCTGGAGGCGCGCGGGAGGGGCGGGGGCGGCGCGTCTGCGAGACCAGTCTCAGTTGGCCCATCAGTCTCACCGCCCATTTGAGATCCCCAACTGGAGGCGGACCGTTTGGTTCGGCGCGCGGCGCGCACGCCGCGTTCCAAAACGTCAATTTGCACGAGCCCCCCCCCCCCGAGCCGTCAGCCAAAGGCAAGGAGGTCCTTCCCGCGGGGGCCCGTCGAAGGCTACTTGTGAGGCAGCGCGTTTGGACGTTGCCCAGGAGGCCATTGCCCGCGCGGGGGCAGGGGCCAGTTCTCCCAGTGTCCCCACTAGCGGGGCCTCGGGGGGAGTCGTCTTGGAGGGGGAGCCCTTGGAGAGGCCCGGGTGAGAGTAGTGGGGGCGGGGCGGGCCCGTCGTCGTCGGGAAGGCAGGGGGCGGAGCGCTCGCGCGCGACCGCGCGCCGCCGCCTCCACGCCGCGGCAACTTCGACGGCCAGAACGCCCACGATGGCACTGGGACTTAGCCCCCGCCGGCGCGTTCCCCCTTCTCCTCGGACTAGCCCCCTTCGCGCGACTCCCCGTCGCTAAGCGCCTAACATATGTGATCCTTGTCCTCGTCGTCGTCTCCGTCGTCGTCGTAGCCCAGCGCCCAGCCCCCCCCCCCCGCGGGGCCCGACTGGGTTGCCGTTGCTCCCCCGCGGGGGCCAGACCCCCCCCCCGCCCACCTCGTGACGGACGCTGCGGGGGGAGAACAAATTAGTCGACTCGGAGGTCCCCGCGCGCGCATCTGATGCCCCTCACACGTCTCGCGGAGGAACGCTGTCCATGAACATCTGGGCGTAGACAGGCGCGGCAACGACGACGACGACGACAGCGACGACTTCAATGACGCCTTCCTCACCTGGACGAGCGGGTCTGAGTGTGAGCGCGTCTAAGTGGGGTCAATGGAGAGTCTGAGTACGAGCGGGTCTGAGTGTGAGTGGGTCTGAATGTGGGTGAGTCTGCATTTGGTTTTGACAGAGGTGAATCGGAGTAAGAACCAACCTGGGTGCGACATACTTTGAGTATGAATAAGGTCTGGGGGTGAGTGAGCCTGAGTATGGGGGAGTGTCAGTTTGGGTTGACGTGGGTGTGGGTGAGTCTGACTGTGGCCGAGTCTGAGTATGAGCGAGTAAGTATGGGCGAGTCTGAGTATGAGTTACTCTGAGTGTGAGTGAGTTTGAATATGATGAGCGAATCGGAGCAAGGAAGGGGCGTTGATAAGCAAGTCCGAGTGCGAACGAGAGCGTCTGAGTGAGGAAGAAGGGGAATGAGGTGAATGCGTGAGTGAGCGCGAAGCAGCACAAGTCGAAAGAGAAGTCTGTCAGGCAGAAACTGGGAACCCGCATGGGATATCTCCACAAAGTGGGCACGAACCCTGAAGTGTCCACACCTCTTGCGGTTCCGCTTGGGGTGCCCAAGTGCCACCTTGTTATATCGCGGTGAGCATTGACTTCCAAAAGAGAGAAATCAGGGGGGCTGAAACAGGCAAACAGCGAAAGACATCCCCACAATCAGGGCGCGACTCCTCGACTGTCCCCACCCCTAGTGCGACGCCTGCTATATCGCGGTGAGCATCGGGCCACCAGCAAAGAGATCAATGTCCGATGGGGGAGACCATCCCCCCACGTCGGGCGCGAGTCCTGAAGTGTCCCAATTCCTGGGGGCTCCCCTTGGGGTGCCCAAGTGCAATGGTTGCTATATCCCGTTGGGCACTGGGCAACCACAAAGAAAACATCTGGGGGGTAGAAACAGGCAAGCCGCTTGAAACATCCACACGATTTGGGCGCGAATCCAGGAGTGTTCCCTTCCTTGGCGGCTTCCCCATCGGGGTGCCCAAATGTTACGCCTGCTTTATCGCGGTGAGCAGTGAATCACCAAAAGAGAGAAAGACATTTGGGAGGCAGAAGCAGGCAAACTGCTTGTGACATCCCTCCCGATCTGATCGCGAGTCCTGGAGTGTCCCCACCCCTGGCGGCTCCCTCGTAGGGTGTCCGAGTGCCACGCTTGCTTTATCGTTGCGAGCATTGGGTCCCCACCGGAGATCAGTCTAGGGGACAGGAGCCGCCCGAAGCATCCCCCCAACTGGGGCGCGAGTCCTGAAGTGTCCCTATTCCTAGCGGTTCCTCTTTGGGGTGCCCAAGCGCGACGCTTGTTATATCGCTGTGGGCAGTGGACCACCAGTATTTTATGAGTGAGTCTGGGTGAGGAAAAATGCGTCGGAGTGAAAAAGTCTGAATGTGTATGAGTCGGAGTGCGTCCGAGCATATTTCCCCGAGTGGGCCTGAGTGGGTCTGAGTAAGCCTGACTCTAAGTGAGGGTGAGTACGCGCGAGGCTGAGTTTGCGCGAGGGAGAGGCAGTATGTAATGGGCCCCGTGAAACAGAGTGGCTCTGTGATGGACCCCGTGATGGGCGTGACTGACCTGAGTCTGAGTATCTGGGTAATACGAGAGTGGAGTAAAGAAGGGGGAAACGCAGGAGGCCCAGAGGCGCCTAAGTTGTAATGGAAGCAGCGCCTCGCCCGAGACATCCCCACACTCTGCCCCGACAGTAAAGGATGTTGGCGCGCAGACACAGGCAACCCGCCTAAGACATCCCCACGATCCGGGCGCGAATGCGGGAGTGTCCCCGCCCCTGGCGGCTCCCCCTCGGGGCGCCCAAGTGCCACGCTTGCTATATCGCGGTGGGCATCCAGCAGAGAAGTCTGAGTGAGGAAGAATGCGTCGGAGTGTTTGAGTTTGAATGTGTATGGTTGGGAAAGCACCTGGGGCGATTTCCCAGAGTGAGCCTGAGTGGGTCTGAGTCTGAGTGAGGAAGTTATGTGGCTGAGCCTGCGCTAGGGAGAGTGAGTCTGTGATGGATCAGCGCCCCGCCTGAGACATCCTCACAATCTGCTCTGAACGCAGACGAGTCTGGTCACCCAAACAGGCAAACTGTTTGAGACATCCCCACAAGAACGAGCCCGCGACACACCCCCTGGTAGCCCCGCTTTGGGGGTGCTGGAGCCAGCGCCTCGCCTGGGACATCCTCGCAATGTGCTTTGAACGCAGCCGAGTCTTCGAAACATCCCGAATACGTTGGCGCGAACGGGCTCCTGGCATACTCCCTGGCGCCCCCCCCCTGGGTGCTGGCAGCAGCACCTCGCGTGATTTGAACCATCTGGGCGCGAGCGGGTGAGTGCTATACCCCAACTGGCGCCCCCACCCCTTTGGGAGTGCTGAAACCAGCGCCTCGCCTGAGACATCCTCGTTCCTTGGGCACGAACAAGGGTCTGAGTGTGAGTGAGTCTGAGTGTGAGTGAGTCTGAATATGTGTGCCTGAGTATGAGTGAGTCTGAGTGTCAGTGAGTCTGAATATGAGTGAGTCTGAGTAGTGAGTCTGAGTGTGAGGGAGGACGAGGAGGGAGGTGGAGGGTGAGATGTCGGCGCGCTCTGAGTAGCAACAGGACCCCATCTCAAGATATGGGGAACACACATCTCGGTGCGCTCGGTGACCGCACAGGCATCAGCCGACTGTGTGTGTGTGTGTGTGTTGCGGAGGCGGCCAGGGACCAGAGCAACGCAGAACCAGTAGTGGAAGGACCACGCTGTGGCAATGTTGAACCCCAAACCAGACGACGGACATGAATGAACCAACGATTCGACGAGGCCGGCCCCCTTACTCTGAGCTCGCAAACACCCTATTGCATTGCACCACCACGTGGTGCATTTCAGGAGTCGCACCCAAGGAATTGTTGCGAGCAGAGATCCGGGAATCGACATGGGTGAAGGCTCGGCGATATATCTAACTGTTCACATGGCATGTGAACTTGGAGCTGCCAGATGTAGAGGCGGTCGGCCAATGGTCAATATACCCACACACACAGGCAGTGCTCAATTCGTCCGACCAGTTTTCGACCATCCGCGCTTCAATCCTACAGCACTTTTTTGTTTGCGCTGATCCATGGACCTCGCGGGTCGCGCGTTTCTTTAAGCGCAATCTAGCAGCATGCAGGATTATGAGAAGCTAAACGCAGAGGGGGAGAGGAGCCACAGCATGGACCTGGCGTGGGGGAGCAACTGGATCCAATGTGATCAAGCTTGTCACACGGTCATGAACGAAAGGAGCAGCAGTAGGAGGATTTCAAGAGCGATAATGGCGATTCTGATGCGGATGAGGAGCAAGTCTGACAAGGAAGATAACGATGAGGAGCAGCAGGAGGAAGATGTGGGGGGACGACGTCAACGACGAACAGCAATGACACTACAGGCGGGAGGGAAGGTCTCGGCCTTCGAAGCCCACGCAACGATATCAGTGCCCAGCCGGGCTGGGGGCGTCGCAGGGTTGGAACGTTGATTCTTCGCTAGCAGTAGTTGTCTGGAGCTCGACCCAACGACTTGCAGTGCCGCCCTGACCTGGCCGCTTGACGGAACCTGCCCAGGACCAGCGGTTAAAATCTCACCAGCGGTTGAAATTTGACCAAGGTTCGATTCTCGCACCCCTCGCATTTATTTGTTCATTCGATAACTGTGTTTCTTATTTAATCGCTTCGCTCATTCCGCCGGCCCTTCTTGTTGCACCTCTGTCGATTTGGGGGTGTATTCCTGAGGGGGTCGCAGTGACTGTGGATTTGGTTTCGGGGGTTCGTCGCAGATTCTGGCGGGGCTGTCCTGGGGCAATCGTGGGTGGTCACGGATATGGTCGGTGATTTATTTCCCCAAACAGTTTGCTGAACGGGGTGCTCTTGTGATAGAAGCTAACTCCGGCCGAGGGAAGTCGGAGCAGAGACATCCTCACAAAAATTTGATGGTCTGGGCCGTTTCGCTTGAGAGATCCTCACAGCTCTCGTTTCTGAGTTGGCCGGGATTGGCCGTTTCGCCTGAGACATCCTCGAAAAGTTGCGCTCCGGGGCGCCGCGCGAGAGGTGGTCCGGGCCGTTTCGCTTGAGACATCCTCGAAACTCTGAGCCCCGAGGTGCCGTGCGAGAGGTGGTCCGGGCCGTTTCGCCTGAGACATCCTCGAAACTCTGAGCTTTGAGATGCCCTGCGCGAGGTGGTCCGGCCCGTTTCGCCTGAGACATCCTCGAAATTCTGACCTCGGAGATGCAGCGCGAGAGGTGGTCCGGCCCGTTTCGCCTGAGACATCCTCGAACTTCTGAGCTCTGAGATGCACTGCGCGAGAGGTGGTCCGGCCCGTTTCGCCTGAGACATCCTCGAACTTTGAGCTCTGAGATGCACTGCGCGAGGTGGTCCGGTCCGTCTCGCCTGAGACAGCCTCGCAACTCTGAGCTCTGAGATGCCGTGCGCAAGGTGGTCCGGCCTGTTTCGCACAAGACATTCTCGCAACTCTGAGCTCCCAGATGCCGCGCAAGAGGTGGTCCAGCCTGGGGGCCCAGAAGACCACATGTTACATATCCTCACTGGGACCCTGGGAGCCCGCCTGAGACATCCTCGAACTTCTGAGCTCTGAGATGCCCTGCGCGAGGTGGTCCGGTCCGTCTCGCCTGAGACATCCTTGCAACTCTGAGCTCTGAGATGCCGTGCGCAAGGTGGTCCGGCCTGTTTCGCACAAGAATTTCTCGCAACTCTGAGCTCCCAGATGCCGCGCAAGAGGTGGTCCAGCCTGTGGGCCCAGAAGACCGCATGTTACATATCCTCCCTGGGACCCTGGGAGCCCCAGGAGGCCCCAGAGAGCTCCAGGAGGCCGCAGGACGCCCAGGACAAGCCCCAGGGGTCCCCAGGAGATTCCCAGGAGGTTCCCAGGAGGCCCCAGGAGGCCCCCTATCAGAACGTGTCACGTTAACACACATCCGGTTTTGATTCGTTGATTTTTCCTGCTTTTGTGCCCCCCCCTCCATTTTGAGAGGCCCAAGCGGCCACAGGTTAGATATCCCTCCTGGGAGCCCCAAGAGGCTTCAGGAAACCCAAAGTGGAGTTCAGGAGGCCACAGGAGGCCCAGGAGGAAGCCCCAGGAGGTCCCCAGGAGGCCCCAGGAGGCACCAGGAGGCCCCCGCAACTCGGAGCTCTGAGACGCCGCGCTCGAGGTAGTCTGGCCCGTTTCGCCTGAGACTTCCTCGCAGCGCGTTTCGCCCGAGACACCGGCCCGTCTCGCCTGAGACATCCTTGCAACTCTAAGCTCGGAGATGCCGTGCGCAAGTTGGTCCGGCCTGTTTCGCACAAGACATTCTCGCAACTCTGAGCTCCCAGATGCCGCGCAAGAGGTGGTCCAGCCTGGGGGCCCAGAAGACCACATGTTACATATCCTCCCTGGGACCCTGGGAGCCCCAGGAGGCCCCAGAGAGTTTCAGGAAGCCGCAGGACGCCCAGGACAGGCCCCAGGGGTCCGCAGGAGATTCCCAGGAGGCTCCCAGGAGGCCCCAGGAGGCCCCCTATCAGAACGTGTCAAGTTAATACAAATCCGGAGTCGATTCGTTGATTTTTCCTGCTCTTGTGGCCTCCCCCTCCATTTTGGGGGGGCCCGACGGCCACATGTTAGATATCCCCCCCTGGGAGCCCCAAGAGGCTTCAGGAAGCCCCAGGTGGGGTCCAGGAGGCCACAGGAGACCCAGGAGGAAGCCCCAGGAGATCACCAGGAGGTCCCAGGAGGCCCCAGGAGGCCCCCGCAACTCGGAGCTCTGAGACGCCGCGCTCGAGGTGGTCCGGCCCGTCTCTCCTGAGACTTCCTCGCAGCACGTTTCGCCCGAGACATCGTCGCAACTCTGGGGTCCGAGATGCCGCGCGCGAAGTGGTCCAGCCCGTTTCGCCTGAGACATCCTCGAAACTCTGGGCTCCGAGATGCCCTGCGCGAGGTGGTCCGGCCCATCTCGCCTGAGACATCCTCGCAATTCTGAGCTCTGAGATGCCGTGCGCAAGGTGGTCCGGCCCGTTTCGCACAAGACATTCTCGCAACTCTGAGCTCTCAGATGCTGCGCAAGAGGTGGTCCAGCCTGGGGGCCCAGAAGACCACATGTTACACATCCCCCCTGGGACCCTGGGAGCCCCAGGAGGCCCCAGAGAGCTCCAGGAGGTCGCAGGACGCCCAGGACAGGCCCCAGGGGTCCGCAGGAGATTCCCAGGATGCTCCCAGGAGGCCCCAGGAGGCCCGCTATCAGAACGTGTCCAGTTAATACACATCCGGTGTCGATTCGTTGATTTTTCCTGCTTTTGTGGCCCCCCTCCCATTTTGGGGGGCCCCGACGGCCACATGTTAGATATCCCCCCCTGGGAGCCCCAAGAGGCTTCAGGAAGCCCCAGGTGGGGTCCAGGAGGCCACAGGAGGCCCAGGAGGAAGCCCCAGGAGATCACCAGGAGGTCCCAGGAGGCTCCAGGAGGCCCCCGCAACTCGGAGCTCTGAGACGCCGCGCTCGAGGTGGTCCGGCCCGTTTCGCCTGAGACTTCTTCGCAGCACGTTTCGCCCGAGACATCGTCGCAATTCTGGGGTCCGAAATGCCGCGCGCGAGGTGGTCCAGCCCGTCACGCTGCCGCCGCCGCCGCCGCCGCCGCCGCCGCCGCCGCCCCCGCCGCCGCAGCCGCCGCAGCCGCCGCCGCCGCCGCCGCCGCAGTCGCCGCCGCAGCGGCCGCCGCCTCCGCCAAGTGTACTCTGTATTGTTTTTTTTGACAGGGATGGTGGGGGGGGGCGCATCGGGTTGGTTGCGCATGTTCTGAATTTGGAGGCAGAGTGTGTTTTGTATTGTTTTTTACAAGGGATTGTGGGGGGGTGTTGGCATGGACCTGGGTTGGCCCCCAGTCGCCTGGGGGAGGGGGTGTTTATTAATAGGGAACAGTGATGAACCCCTCCCCGAAGGAGAAAAAGGGGGTGGAAGAGGAAACACCCCAAACCACCTACGCCCTAAGGGCTGGTGGGATTCGTGCTCCTCCGATGGGGTTCCTCTTAGGGCTGTCTTGGGTTGTCCAGAGGGCGTCGTGGGCCGTTTTGGGGCCCTCTTGGGCTGTGTGGGGCCCATGTTGGGGGTATGTTGGGCCGTCTTGGGGCGATCTTCGAGGTTTCTTGGGCAGTGTTAAACGCGCTGGACCTCGAAACGTCGCTTATGCGCAAAATGCACGTTTTCCGAAAGGGAAATGGGGCACTTTTTGCTGGCTGAGGCTCTCTAGGAGAGCCTCTTGAGGTTCTCTTGGGACTTCTTGGCGGCGGCTTGGGCCGTCTGGAGGCGATTTCGGGCGTCTTGGGGCGATCGTGCGGGTCGGCAAGCTGGAAAGTTCAATTCGAGCTCCCCCGATGGGGCCCCTCGTAGGGTTGTCTAGGGCTGTCCAGGGGGCGTCGTGGGCCGTCTTGGGGCCCTCTTGGGTCGTGTTGGGCCCATCTTGGAAGTTTGTTGGGCCGTCTTGGGGCGATCTGGAAGGTCTCTTGGGCAGTGTTGGACGCGCTGGACCTCGAAACGTCGCTTATGCGCAATATGTACGTTGTCCGAAGGGAATGTGACACTTTTTGCTTGCGGAGGTTTTCTAGGAGAGCCTCTTGAGGCTCTCTTGGGGCTTCTTGGCGGCGGCTTGGGCCGTCTGGCGGCGACCGAGGGCCTTTCGGACCGTCTGGAGCGCGTCACGGGGCTCTTTTGGAACGCTCCTGGGGCGCTCGGGAAAGCTTGGAAGGCAGCGCCGAGGAGGAAAACCATCTCTGGCTCTCACCTTGCCGGGACCTGTCGGGGTACTTTTCGTTCGAGGGCCCCCTGGGGACTGGGCCGCCCCACGCGGGCGAACTAGAAAATTGTAAACCAGTTGCCCGAGTTTTTAGCACGCCTCTGGCCTGTTGGGCAGGTCCATTAAATAATTGTGTTTCTTATTTAATCGCTTCGCCCATTCCGCCGGCCCTGGAGCGCTATTTGGGGCCTCTTGGGGCCGTCTTGGGGGCCTTTTAGGGGATTCTTGGGAGCGTCTTGGGGCTCCTTGGCGGCGTCTTGGGCTCCCCTGGGGCCTCTTGGGGGGCTCTTCGGGGGCCCTTGGGGCGGGAGGGGGGGTTGTCGATTGCAGCCACCCCGTCGGAGGCCACGATCCTCGTGAGGGGTGGCGAAAAATAGCCTCCCCCCTGGAGATCGCCCGGGACCAGGCCGGGGGTCAGCCGGGGTATTGTTCGTCCGGGGGGCTCCCAGGGGCCGCCCCGCGCGCGCGAACTAGAAATATTGTTAAGCAGTTACGGGAGATCTTAACACGCCTCTGGCCCGATGGGCCGGCGAATTTCCCTGGCGGAGTGTTCTCTCAGATGTCTTCCTGGCGACAGGCATGGCGTAAGACAGGCGGAGCGTTTATTTTCCAGTGGCCTGGCCCAGTCTTTGGACGCAGTTTGCAGCGCATGGGCGGTATGGCAAGGATGTGTGAGCGGCGGACGAATCGACCGCGAGCTTTGATGCTTTGTTGAGCGATATCCGGTTTATTCATCAGACGTGCGCGAGGGTTGAAGGATGTGCGACGCAGGCAAGAACGCGTGGTCCGACCTGTCCTGATAACGTGTATGGGGTGCTGCAGAGAGTCCGTTCTATCTCGCTCAAGCCTTCAGGGAGCACCTGTCTTCTATGCGCCCCAATCAACCGCACATCCCTCCCTGGCTGCTGGTCTGCGCCTGGTGCACGCTGGACGCCCTCTGGCCTGGCCTGGTGCGCAGCGGCGGCGGAGGGGGTCCCCCAGACGAGCCGCCGTCCGCAGCCCTCGCGGCCGAGGCCGCCTTTCGCGAGGCTGAGCGTGCCGCGTCGTATGCCCGTAACCTCTCAACTGCTGCATGCAGAGTTTGCGGCGCTTGCGCGGCGCCTGCATGAGCTCCGCAGGGATCAAGCGCAGCAGCACACCGACGAGTATTCGTTCTACGCGCGCTCGATAGGACTTCTACTGACGGGCATCCTGACACAGATCGTGACTGTGCTCAGCCACTGTTGCTTCCGTCGTGGCCCTGCTTCCTCCACTGCTGCTTTACCAAGCGGAGGGGAGCGCCGCCGTGGCGGCGGAGTTCTTCAACGAGTTGCTGCCGGGCTGCATCGCCACCTTCCACGACGGGGACGGCCGCGGCATCTGGCACGAGCGGGTCTTGATCTGGCCCGCGGATGCCCGGCAACCATCCGCGCGATGGACGATTGTGACACCCGATGGCGACGTGTACGAGGAGGAGATCGTCAGCGGCGCCGACGGGGATGGGTCCCGACATGGCGTCGTTGACCTTCGGCGCCACCCCCGCTCGGCAGCGACCCGCTGGGCGGGAGTACCGCTTCAGCGCCTACCTGACAGAGACCGCGCTGCTCGACATGGTTCGCGCCGCGAGGCGCGAGACGCGGGCGCCTGGCCTCGGCGTGGCAGAACCCCCGCGTTGGATGCGGAACGGTGACGTCCTCGGCGGCGCTTCGACCGTCAGCTCCGGTGAGGTGCCCGGCTTCTACCGGCGCCTGGGCCGCAAGGGTCCCGCTGCCCCGCCTGCGCGCCCCGGCGCGGCGACGACATCCCCGGCGCCCCTCCCGCCGCCGGCGGGCGCGCCACCAGACCTGGACGATGACGCCAGGGACGGGGAGTGGTTGGGCGCTGGGGGGGCCGCCGCGCCCGTGCCAGACCCTGCAGGCGCCCCGTGCTCGTGAGTGCGGAGGCCTCGGCCCCTGGTCTGGCTGGGGTCTGCTGCAAGTCTTTGCTGAACGAGATCCAGCGGGGCGACGAGATGTCACTGGCTCCAGGCGGCGTCCTCTGGGGCGAGAGCGGCCTGCGCAGCACTCCGAGTGGCGTCGTTGTACCGATGGAGCTGGCGCCGACGCCGACCGCTGGACATCGCGCTGGCGGCGGGGAGAATGACGCGCGCCTGTTGGGCCCTCTGATGCGCAATCGCGACGATCGTCGCCATCGAGACTTCCGAGATCCAGTCGGCCAGATGCGTCGGGGGATCCTCGACGACTTCCCCTTGTCGGGCGAGCGCGGCTACGAGTGGCCGCGCGGGTGCATTCTCGATCATGAAGGTGCCCCCGACGGCCGCCAGACCAAGTGGGCGAGCGAGAGCGGCGGCGCCAAGGACTCGTCAGCCGCGCATGTCCACGACCTCCTCGGCCGTCGATCGAGCTCGCGCAGGCCCACAATCAGGTCGACGGCTCGAACTTGGCGCGCCTCGGGGCGATCGCTCACGCGCGCCTGCTGGTTGAGGGGGCCATGGGCAGCATGGGGATCGAGGGGGTCGAGCTTTGCATCGGCCGCTCGAAGCAGAGCGCGCGCCGCGGCGTGGCTGCGGCGCCTGAGCTCGCCAATCGCGCCACCGAGCAGCTCGCCAAGGAGACCGAGATCCAGAAGCAACGGCGGAGGGCGCGGGAGGGGAAGAGCGCCGCCGCCGGCAAGGAGGGGCAGGGGTGACCTGGAGTCGGCGAACGGGGGGCGGCTCGGCCCGTCCGCCGTTTCGTGGGAGCCAGTTTTGTCCACTTGACGCAGGTGATCCTCCTGGTGGCGGGGTGCTCCTTCTGCTGCCCCTGCCGCGCCGGTCTCTCCGCGCCCCCTGCCTGGGCCATCCCGTTCGGTTCGGGCCCACATTCATCGCGCTCAGTCCAGCGGGGGGCGTGCGAGGGGCGCCGCGGAGTGCCTCGACGCGCTTGGGGGCCGCGTCACGCCGCAGCGCACGCCGGGGCGCCTCTCAGACGCGGGCGACCTTTTACTTCGGCGCGCCCGCCGCTTGCATCGCCAAATGGAGGCACCATCGGACGCTTCGGCTCAGGAAGCGCGTTGAGAGCTTGGGTCGCCCGTGTCTTCGCTGTGGCGCGTCCAGCGATCTATCGCTGAGGCCATGTGCGCCGCGTCTCGTGAGTTGGCCCCGACTTGGGGGCGGGCCTGGCTGGCTTGCCGACCGACTCGGGGCCCGCGACCGGTGCTCTCTCCTGGGCCTCGACCGCGACCTGCTGCCGCCGCCACCGAGCTTCGACGCGGTCGTGGAGGGGGACTGGGGGCGCGCGCTGCGCATGGGCCATGTGCTTGAGAGGAACCGCGCGACGCGCGTAGAATCCGCGAAGCCGGGGATCTCCAGGGGCGTTCTTCGTGGCTGGCAAGACCGGGGTGGAGGATGTCATGTCTTTCTTCGTTCCCCACAAGGACGGCCGCATCAGGGTGGTGCTCGACTGCAGGAGGAGCACTCAACGGTTTCAGCCTCCTCCGCCAGTCAGCTTCTTTCCTGCCGCGGGCTTCGCGGACTTAAAGGTGCCCGAGGGGGCCCCGCTCCACTTCGCGGGGGTCGACGTCCAGAACGCTTTCTACCGGCGCAGGCTGCCTGCCCACCTGCGGCCGCTGCACAGCCTGCCCGCCGTCGCCGCGGGCGAGCTGGGCATCGCCAGGCTGGGCGGGCGTCGCGCGGCTCCTCGGGCCCGCCAGCGCCCGCGGCTGGCCGCGGCGCCGACGGGCCGGGGCTGGGCGCTCCACTTCGCGCAGAGGGCCCACGAGCGCCCGCTGGTCGGCTGAGACGCCCTCGGGCCCGAGCTGCGGGCCGTGGACTTTGCGCCGCCGCTGGGGCCGCTCGCCGAACCGACCCGCGCTCGTCGTCGGCGCGGATCGGGGGCGGGTGGCGCGCGTTAGGCGGCTGTCCTCCCAGGCTTTGGAGGCCGCGGGGCCCGCCGTCCACGACGAGACCGGCGCGACTGACTCGATGGCGATGCTGGGGGGGGCAGTTGGAGGGGTGGCTTGCGCGGGCCAGGCTGGCGCCGCGCCGCATCTGGAAGCTGCGCCCGGGCCGTGGCTACCTGGCGCAGCGTCGCCCCAGAGTAACTGGCCGCGACATCGAGCGCGCGCCGGGCCACTGCACCTTCGCGGCGCTCTGCCGCCGCGAGAGCCTGAGCTGCTTCGGCGCCGTCTACGCCTTCGCTCAGCAGGGGCGCCAGCGCGCTCGGCCGTCGCGGGCGTCAGCGCGGATGGAGCTGGAGATATTCCGCGGCGCCCTCGTCGCGCTGAGCTCGCAGCCGACCCCCCCTGGCCTTGCAAGGCGGTCGTGGCGGATCCCCACGAGACAGGCCGCGCCTCGATGACCGCCGAGCGGGGCGCGGATGCCGTCGCCACCACAGGGCGCCCGCGCTACAGCTGGCGCTTCCGCCGCGCGCGCGAGGAGGGCGGCGGCTGGCGGCCGCGAGGCCGCGCGGCTCGCGCGGCCGAGGCCGTCTTGCTTGATGCCGAGCCGTCGCTCGCAGCATTGATGGGCGCGTTTGATGAAAAGGGTCGCCCGAAGTGTCTGCGCGCGCCCTCCGCCGCGCCAGCTGGAAACTGCCGCGCTGCGCCCTGCTGCCCAGGAAAGAACTTACGCGCCGAAAAGAAGCCATGGGCCAGAGGGGATCTACTCGCCGCCAAGCTGATTCCATCGGACGCGGGTTCTTAAAGAAGGAGGCACGTTGCCCCAGGGGGTAATCTCGCACTTGCACTCGCACCCTCGAAAGGTCGCTGCCGTGACATTCGCTTGCTCAATATACTTCGCTGAGGGGCCGCCCGCGCGTTGGCGGCGGGCTCTCGGATCCAGAGGCGATGGGTGCCCGGCGAGCCGAACGGCGCCGATGGCGCCAGCCGTGCCCGCGAGCGCGCTGACGGACAACGCGCGCGCGCCGCGGGTTGGCGAGCGCTTGCTGCGCAGGGCCGCCAGCTGCGGCCCCATCGCGGCGCCAGCGACCGCCCGCCGGCGCCCCTGGGCTCTGCCCCCCGGCTGCCTTCGCGGCCTGGGCGGGCGGCTCCAGCTCAGCCGTCGCCGACGGCTGCTCCGGCCCAAGCTTTGGCGCGAGACTCGGCTCAGGCTGCGACCCCTGGGCCGCAGGCCACCCGAGCCCGCCTGGCCCGAGCCGCGGGCCCACAGCTTGCCCGCCGCAGCCGCCAGCAGCACCGCAACCTGCGGGAGCAGTTCCTGGCAGCCTCCGAGCTGGGGGCGCCGGGAGTTGCCGCGCGCGTGCCGGGCGCCGCTGCGACGAGGTTCTTCGACGAACTGCACCTGGCGGGGAAGGTCGCCGCGACGGGCGAAAAGCTGATCGCCGCCATCGCCATGCGCGCGCCCGGCTGCCAGAGCAAGGGCCGTCTGGCGCTTCCTCGAGCCTGCAGTGGCAGGGTGGAAATGCCCCTCCACGGCGTGCCGATGGTCGATGCCTACCTCGGGCCCGGCGAAGCCCACCGCTTGACAAAGGGCCAGGCGCTGCCGCCCGAGGGCGAGGATGCCCAACGTGACGATACATACCAAACCCGACTACCTCAAGAGGCTGAGCGAGCAAGACAGGCGAGATGGACGAGACCGTCGACATCGCCCGACCTTGGCTGGCCTCGTTCATCGCGAGGCAGAGCCAGGGCGCGCCGACCGACCCACTCTGGACGTTCACCATGGCAGTGGCGAAGCGGACCTTCGACAGGGCAGCGGCCTCCCTCGGGCTCGAGGGCCTGCAGGCCGCGCTGCGCATGGCGCGGCGCAGCGGGGCCTCGATCGACAGGTTCACGGGGCGGATCTCGCTACTGGAGGTCCAGCGCCGCGACGGGCGGAGGCAGCCCGCGTCCGCGCGCCGCTGCGAGAAGCGAGGCCTGACCCAAGCAGCGCGGGCCCAGATGGCTCCTCGTTCGAGGGAGTGCTGCCAGCGTGCCGAGGCTGAGTTGCCCGCGCTGCTAGCTGCAGGCTAAGTGAGAGGCTCCGCCTGCCTCCCTCTAGATTGAGAGCTGGCCAATCCTTTGTCAACGAAGTGCTCTCGGGATCAGAGCGGTTTTCCAACGCCCTCAGGGAACGTGGTTTCTGTGTCTTTTGTTCTTCGATGCGTTGCAGGGCCCGTAAGGCGACCTCCTTAGGCCTTGTATCTTGCGTAGGGTCTTGCGTATGATCAAGAGTGACCAGCGTCTCGGGCTCCTCGGTGGGGCCCAATGAAAGAGCTTCTCTATTTCTCGTGGTGGCCACAACGCCATCCGTAGTAATGACCACCCCCTGGGCCTCCCTTCGCTTCCCCTTCCTCTGATGGGAGAACCCTCAGTCATCCGACATGTGGAAAGTAGGCTCCGCCCGTCGTGTATTGCATTGGCCTGGTGTGCAGGTTATATTCACTAACTATTGTGACTGGGCTGCTCTGTGGTGTAAGCCGACCAGGCTTCGCGGTTTCATGTTGTCTCGTGCCTGCGATGTGTCCAAGCTTTGTCGACCTATCCGAGGGACATGCACGTTCACGAATCGGAAACACCAGATCCTCCAAGGCCGTGATGGCCTCGGTGTTCACTGGGTAGCTCGCGCTGCCGCCTATCCCAGGACACTGTGCAATGCGATGGCCGAAGTGTTCATTGATGGCGCTTTCGATCGCGCCTTCAGGCAGAATATCCACTCGTTCCCCTTTTCGCCCTCCTTATCCCAACGGATGACGTGCGTAGCAAAAACCGCTTGCGACCTTTGCACGCCTCGAAGTTTGGCAATGTTCTTGGTTTCAGTGTGTCGTTTCGGTCGCTGCCGTCGCCAGCGCCGTTCGTCGATATGAGTCTCACACACCACATGGGGATGAGAGATATCACAGCTCTGAAATTTGAGGACGGGTGGGGGACCTCCATAACATGATCATTTGAGTGGCAGCGATGAGCGCAGGGACAGCAGGAGCGGATAAGCAGGGATGAATGTGGGGATTGGTTGGACATGGAGATCTAATAACGCTTAGGTTGTAGGTCAGAAGCCTCTTGGATGCCTGTGGGGATCTCGTGTGCGGCCTCTCGGAGGCCTCTTGGAGGCGGTTTTGGGGTTGTTTTCGAGTTTATCGGGGCCTCTGGGGGGTTCCCTGGGGCTTGACTTGGGCAGCTCGGGGGCCTCCTGAAGTTTCTGGGGGGGCTCTTGGGGGCCAGATGGCGGTCTCGGGGGTCATCTTGGGGCGGAGAGCGCGAACTACCAGTTCGAGTCTCTTGGGCCGTAGTGGGCCCCTCTTGAACCGTCTAGGGGCCTTATTGGGCGCTCTTGCACGCATCCTGGGCCGTTTTGGAGCGTCGGAAGCCCGAAGGGATGGGAACGCTAACATGTGTTTTAACGTATGGAAACTATGATTTGACCCTCTCGGGGCCCTCTTGGGTGGCCCCTTGGAGCCCTCTTTGGGGCTTCTCGGGGGCCTTTTGGGGCAGTCTGGGGGCATCGTGGGTAGTCTTGGGGCCCTCTGGAGTCGTTTCGGGGCGCTCTTGGACCCTCTCGGGCGCTTCTCAGGCCGGAGGACCGGCAAGCAACATCCCAGAACTCACATGAGAAATCCAGGAACCTCAGAAGACGACGGGACGGCCCAGACTTCCGGGTGTCTGGCCCCTCACGAATCTAGAGTCTAGGCTGCATTGCCACACAGCCGCGAGCCCTGGGGAGCTCTACTTCGTGCCAAGGACACGGCGGCGGACAACTATGAGTAGAGATCGAAATGGTATGATTGTAGCGCGCCTTAGCTTCAACCGTGCTTAAGCAACCCAGCGCGTGTCGTCGAGTCATCGCTCGCACTAAACTGTCAGGTTATTCGCACATTGAAGTGGTCACGGGGAGATACAGTCGAACTTCTTAGTAGGTGTGTGCGTATGTGAGAGAGTTCGCTATTCACGCATGTGATTAAACTGGATGGTGCGAGCGCTGATTTCTCGCGTGCTGCTCCAATGTGTTAGGGCCGCTACGCGACGGTATGGTATATGACCAGGAAACTTAATGGTTCGATCTTTCGGGGAGCTACGTTGGGGTCCCCAGTGATCCATGTAAGAGGGTCTGGGGTCTTTGGTGTCTTACCCGCAAACGGAGCTTTCAACTCGAATGGGCAGCGTCGTTCATGTGCCAGTGAGGGGAGCAATCGTTGCCGAACTTGGATCAGACAGTTGGGCGGACCTCTATCTCTCTCTCTCTCTCTCTCTCTTTCTTTCTTTCTCTCTCTCTCTCTTTTTTCTCTGCTTGTTTTCTTTATGTCGTTCTTTTTTCCTCTCTCTCTCTCTCGAAGACTGTCTCAGAGTGTTCCAGACATTGGTCTGAGGAAGGCTGCGACGGGGTAAAATGCGAGCTTGTGCTTCTCTGGCTGGCGCGGATGGACAAGCAGTGTGAAATCAGAGGGACGTGAGGGTGATCGGCCATGTTGGAGAGAGAGAGAGAGAAAGAGAAAAAGAGAGAGAGAAAAACAAATAACGAAATAAAGAAACAACAACAAATAGCCTGGCGAAGGACCCAACCATATGCAGTTGTGAATACCGTCGTTGTTAGTGTCGCCTTCGGTGGATCTCCTTATGGAGCCCCGAAGCGCATGAAGAGTGTGCCGATATGGGGCGGGGCCGCCATGCGGGCGCTGCTGCTGGGGCCTGATGTAGAGCCCCCTTTATGGGGCCACAAAACGTGTGAGGGATGTACCCAAATGGGGCGGGGACGCCATGCAGGCGCTGCCACTGGGGCCTTCGGTGAAGCTCCCTATGGGGCCACGCAATGTGCGAGGGGCGAGCGGCGATGATGGCGATGATAATAACGATGCGCATGACCTTAGGAGGAGCTTCTGATGGGGCCACGAAGCTTGTGAGGGGTATGCCGGAATCGGGTGGCGTCGCCATGCGAACTGCGCTACTGGGACCTTAGGTGGAGCTCCCTCCCTATGAAGCCAAACATCGTGCGAGGGGTGTGCCAAAATGGAGCAGCGCCGCCATGCGGACTGCGCCACTGGGACCTGAGGTGGAGCTCCCTATGGGGCCACGAAACGTATGAAGGGTGTGCCAAAATGGGGCAGCGCCGCCATACGGACTGCGCCACTGGGAGCTTAGGTGGAGCTCCCTATGGGGCCACGAAGCGTGTGAGGGGTGTGCCAAAATTGGGCGGCGCCGCCTTGCGAACTGCGCCACTGGGAGCTTAGGTGGACCTCCTTATGGTGCCACGAAGCGTGTGAGGGGTGGGCCAAAATGGGGCGTCGCTGCCATGCGATGGAGCTCCCTATTTGGCCACGAATCGTGTGAGGGGTGTGCCAAGAGGGAGGGGAGGAGGAGGGGGAGGAGGAAGAGAGGAGAGGAGAGGAGAGGAACGCGGGGACCGGTTCTTCAAAACGAGGACCCAACACCACGGGATGGTTGGGAAAAAGTAGCCTGGCAGAGGACCCAACCATATGCATTTTTAAATACCGTCGTTGTGGGTATCGCCTTCAGGGGATCTCCTCATGGGGCCAGGAAGCGCGTGAAGGGTGTGCCGAAATGGGGCGGGGCCGCCATGCGGGCGCTGCCACTGGGCCTTCGGTCAAGCCCCCGTATGGTACCACGAAGCGGGTGAGGGATGTGCCCAAATGGGGCGGCGTCGCCATGCGGACTGTGCCTCTGCGACCCTAGGTGGAGCTCCCTATGAGGCCAAGAAACGTGTGAGGGGTGTGCCAAAATGGGGCCGCGCCGCCATGCGAACTGCGCCACCATGCGAACTGGACCTTAGATGGACCTCTGTGCCAAGATGGGGCGGCGTCGCCATGCGGACTGCGCCACTGGGACCTGAGGTGGCACGTGTGAAGGGTGTGCCAAAATGGGGCTGCGCCGCCATGCAAACTGCGCCACTGGGACCTGAGGTGGAGCTCCGTGTGGGGCCACGAAGCGTGTGAGGGGTATGCCAAAATGGGGTGGCGCCGCCTTGCCAACTGCGCCACTGGGACCTTAGATGGAGCTCCCTGTGGGGCCACGAAGCGTGTGAGGGGTATGCCGAAATGGGGCGGCGCCGCCATGCGGACTGCGCCACTGGGACCTGAGGTGGAGCTCCCTATGGGGCCACGAAACGTGTGAGGTATTCGTGCCAAAATGGGGCGACGCCGCCATGCGAACTGCGCCACTGCGACCTTTGGTGGAGCTCCCTTTGGGGCCACGAAAACGTGTGAGGGGTGTGTCAAAATGGGACGACGCCGCTATGCGAACTGTGCCACTAGGACCTTAGATGGAGCTCCCTTTGGGGCCACGAAACGTGTGAGGGGTGTGCCAACGTGAGGGGGCGACTAGAGGAGGAAGGAGAGGGGAGGGAGGAGGAGAAGGAGAGGGGGGGGAGGAAGAGAGGAGATGAGAGGAACGCGGGGACTTTTTTCAGAACGAGGACCCGACACCACAGGATGGTTGGGAAAAATAGCGAAGCCAGGATTGTGTCTGAACTGAAGGAAGCGCAGCCGCAGTCGGCCTCCGCGGATGAGCTACAGGGTTGAGTATTGGGCAGGTGCTGGGTGCTGCAGTGAGGTGGTCGGAAGCCCCAGGCTCCTGTCGGCCCCTGCGTGCGCATACACATGTATTGCACGTTCGTCTAAAGGTTGGCATGCAGACCCACGCGCACACGCAATCTATTGGACAGAGCATTTCCTGCCGCTGCTGGCAGGTGTGTGTGTGTGTGGGGGGGGGGGGGGGGGCGACCCCCACTGGAAATGAGAGTGTCGAAAGCCTTTGTGGGCTGTCTAGGGGCCATCGCGGGCCGTCAAGAGCGCTCTTGGGCCGTCTCTGGGGCCTTTTGGCCCGTGTTGGGGCGACCAATCGGGCTGTCTTAAGCGACATGGGAGCCATGGAAATCATCGGATTCCGTCTTGGAGCGACGTTGGACGCGCCAAGTGTTCGCGAAGGGGCCGAAAGTCGTTCGGTGTGGGCGGTATGGGGGCAATTCCGGGGGATACGATTACAAGGATATTTGTATGTATATGTGTATCTCTAGGTGTGTATGTATGTATGTATGTATGTATGTATGTATGTATGTATGTATGTATGTATGTATGTATGGATGCATGTCTGTCTGTTTGTGTGTATGCATTTCTGTATGTATGTGTGTATGCATGTACGTAGATTGGTTGTTCCAGAAGCGGCCTTGCCTTCGATGGTCGAAGGACTTGACATGTCTTTCTCAGCGGACGGCGGCGGAAGGCGGCGGAAGTAAAACGAGCGCGCTTCCGCCGGCGGAAACTCGGCGGAAGTTGGCGAAAGTAAGACCAGCGCCCCCCAAAGATGACAACGTTGTTGGGTTCAGGGTTTCCAGATCTCGCCATCGATGCAATTAGTTATAAGTACATATATGTATATAGATACATGCAGATATGAAGAGAAAAGAGAGAGATATATAACAAACAATGGAGAGAGAGACAGAGAGAGAGAGAGAGAAAGAGACAGAGAGGGAATCGTTATGTTCGCTCCCTCTGCCCTTTTTAAGTTTCCATCAGCCCGCCATTGCGGGCGCTTGGTTCATTTCTGAGTAACAGTGCGCGCTGTGTGCATTGCGGCTGGGGAAAGAGGAGCGGCGCGCTCGCGCCGCCGCGTGGTCCGTCAACGTTCAGGATCACATCGTCCCAAATACCTTCGTGATGGGGCTTGCTGAGCTAGGAGAAGAGCTCTGTGAAAGAGCGCTTTCTGCCGCTGCTGGCAGTTGGGGGGGGGCGTTCCCCCCCCCCCTTCCTCCACAACCTGGGGGGGGTGGTCCGCCCTTCCCCCCCCCCGCCCCCCTCGGAAAGTTGAGAATCTCCCCCCCCCCCTCGGAATTGAATTCCGGGGGGTGGTCCAGAACCTTCCCCTGCTTCTGGAACAATAATTACGGGGGGGTCCAGATCCCGCGCCCCCCAGTCCTCTTTGCAAAATTATTGGAGGGGTCGGTGTCCCCCCCGCCACCTTTCCCCTCTTCCATCTCCGGACCCTCCTTTCGTGTACCTCGTCCCCTTTGCATTTTTCACTGGAGGTTGCTTCGGGATCTCGGGAATAGGGAAGGTGGGCGATAATTCCATCGGCAGCATGAGGGGATGCGACCAAAGACGAAATTGTAAGCGCCCTGGTCTGTTGGATCCACTCCCGAGCCGACGCGATGCTTCACCCAGTTTAGAAAAAGTTGCCTGGGTCAGTATCGACGGGCATACCACTGTTCCTGAAGAACACGATGACATCACGAGTGAAGCTCCATTGGGGCCGAGGGTCCGTATTTCGGCGAAGAGACAGCGCATCATGCATTTCCTTTGTTTCCCCAGCCGACGCTGACTGTCTGGCGTGGAATGTTCGTAGGTTCTGATTGTGGGGAAAGGCGGGACCCTGTCCCCTTGTTCTGCGACGGGCCGAAACCTTCGAGATACACCTGGCAGATGCTCATGGTATACGGAGACGAGACAGCCGAGTGAGCGAACAGTGATGACAACAAGAGTCGCTGGAACGATGGCGGTTGCTGGTGGCGCAAAAGTAATGAACCTGGCAGTGCCAGCGGACAAAAACTACGGATCGGAAAGCAAATAGTGGCAGCGCAACAAATCGAATGAGGAGTCCGAGAAGTCATCGTGCAAGGACGATTCTTCAGGCTTGCGCCACATCCGCCGACCCCTTACTCTTCGGGATTGTGTTTGGCGTGCTGTTTTCCGTCAAGGCGTTCAGTTTTTGTCAGGGTCATTTTGGCAGCTGTTTGCAAGTGTTTTTTATGTTGTTTGGTGTCGCGTTGTGTTCGATCAGCCGGTGCGCCCGCCATGCGGATGCGATTGGTCATGAGGGGGCTTCAGGTGCTTCTGCAGCCATGCCGGGGCCGTCTGGGTTGGGCCGTGCGGGCATGTTGGGGGGACGTTTGTGGCGCATGCCCGGCCGTGTTTGTGTTTTTCTGTTTTGTAACTGTGCAGTGTCCAGTGTCATTATGCAGGGTGCCCTGGATGAGTTGTGCCTCCACTTGTGCGGATTCGCATTTCGTTTCTTGTGTGGTCGTTGTCGGTTATGAAAACCGGGTCGGCGGACTCGATTATCACGTGATGCCCGTTTGTGTAGTAATGTTTCTATGTCTTCATTGTGGCGTTGCCTGATCCGCCGGTCTTTGCTGGGCCGTTTTGGAAGCAGTTTGCGCCGTCTTCAAGCGGTCGTGTGCTGTTTCGGTTCGGTTTGGAGCCGACTTGGAGACATTCTGGCCATGTTTGAAGCAAGCATATTTGGAGTTTTGGAGGCCATTCTGGCGGCTTCGTTGTTCGAACTTGCCTTGGATCTCACACAGCCGGACTTAGCCTGTACTATTCTTCAAACGTGAGATTGTCGGCCCGCCGGGGAAGTTCAAGGGGGGAAAGTTCGCGCGCTTGGAGACCCCAAACGGGTCTTTCTGCATTTTTTGTCCATATACGTGTTGAGATCGGCCTTCAAATATCGAATGGTATTCGGCCCGTCCAGCCACCGTGCTTGGGTTGCTGGTCAGAGGCCTCTTGTATATTCGTTAGGATCTCGTGGGAGGCCCTGAGGGGGCTTCTCGGAAGCAGTTGTGAGGCTTCTTGGGTGCCTCTTGGGGTCTTTGTGAGGCCTCTCGGAGGCTTCGTGGGGCCTTTTGAAGGCGCTCTTGGAGCCCCTTGAGGGCCTGGCGAGGCTTCAGGGTTGGAGTCTCGATTCCTGATCCCCTGCATGGCGCCGATTTGGGGCGTTTAAGGGCCGTTTTGGGCGCTTGTTGGGCCGTCTTGGAGCTCTCCGTGGCCGCCTCGGGGCCCTCTTGGGTGCCGCTTGGGCCGCTTTGAGGCGGTCTTGACGGCCTCTTGGCCCGTCTTGGAGAGTCGGAAGCTCGGAAAGGCGAGAAACCCCAAAACGCTGAACTTTGAACATCAAGGATTTTGGCCTCTTGGGGCCCTCGGCACCAACACCAGAAACCTATGTGCATATGCCACCCGCCGACTGGCCTCGAAGTGGAGGCAAACCGCCCAGAGCGAGGACGATAGGGAAAAATTAGAACGTGCAACGATATTTAGCGGAGGTGGATTCTCCACCTAATAGCACAATGATGCGTGCGGCCCCAACGTTGATGTTTGACGTTGGCTTCCTGGAAGGACGAGGAGAGAAAATGGCGCACAGGCGTACATGAACCATTGCACTGGCTTTGCAATTTGTGCCGGACAATGGTTCCGGAAATTTGTGATCATTGGTGGCGTGCGCCAAAGCATAGCATCAAAATGCTGCAAGACAGGGCTTTGGCGGAAAGCCGACCACACTGGCGTGCAGCACGTGTATGGTTCTTGCAGCGCCCTGCGGCGAGCGTTGCTGCACCTCGCCGCGTGTCGCAGCACCTGCGAGTGAGACAGGAGCGACCTGTCCCAGGCAGTGCAGGCGGGGAGGAATGGACGATCATGATGGGTGATGATGATGGTGATAATGACGATGTCGGTGGCGATGACGATGACGATGTGGATGATGAGGGCGGCGAGTACGATGGGCCGTCAGATGAAGGCGGGGGCGTTCGTCAGAGTCGGCGATGGCGGGGCGACGCGGACGAGCGCATGTGTTAGCATTTAAAGGCGCCGCGTGACCCTGGAGAGGGAGGGTGGTCGCGGGAGCTCGAGTGGGGCGGTGGGCCCCCACCGCGATTTTACTAACATAAATTCATCCCCCCGTTCGTTCAAACATGTGAGTTTCGCTCGGAGCTTGAGTGTCCACGAGCAATTTCTGGAAGGGTGTCCAGCGGTGTCCCATAGTTTCCCAGAAAAGTCATCGTTCTTCTTCCAAAGTGCGTTCGCTGGCAACCGGCATGAGGCGCCCTTGTGAAACGTCGCGAACCCTGGAGGAGCTCGTTCGGCGGTCGTTTACGTTCCGCTCGCACGCGGTACCCGTGCCAGCGAGCGCGAACCCCCGAAGCGTTCGGTCAGGTGCCGTCCAGGGGGTTGGCCCAGTCAATTAGCAATGTGCATAGGGCGCCTATGCAGACGGCCTCGACACTGGGTCCCAGAAGCTCGCCAGGGGTTGGCCCGTTCTGGCGGCCACTTGCATAGGGCGCCTATGCAAATGGGCCCGAGCCTCCGAGGCGTTCAGCCGGGGGCTTTTCGGGGCCATGTGCGTCGCCGCCCTATGCAGATGGGCGCGGACCCCCGATGCGTTCGGTCGAGGGTCGTCTGGGGGGGTTGGCCCGTCCAATTGACGATTTGCATATGGCGCTGTTTTTTTTTTACAGCCGCAGGCGGAAGCGCCAGCGGCGGGAGGTCGCGGGCGGGCTACGGCCGCGGCTAAATTGCCTAACGCGCGCGGGGGCCGTGGATCAGGCGGCGAGGTAGGCAGCGCCCAGGGCGGCAGCCGACGTGCAATCCAGAGAGACTGAGACAGCCCCAGGACGGGCATGCAACGGTGCATCCAACGAGCCTGAGGACAGGCACCGAGGAGACCAAGCGCAGCCAAAATGGCGCGTGAGGCGTTCCCAGAAGTCCAGATGCGGACAGAAAGGAACGTTCCCGAGGACAGCGATCCAGGGAGCCTGACGGGTACCACAGACTGACTGGGGGCA